CACTTCTCTCCTCCATGAGATCCCAATATCCATGAAAATAAATAAATAAGGTATTCTGATTGATTCAATAGAAATATGAACTTAATTAGTGGTTTCTACGTAGTGTAAATAAATGTTCTTTCCATTCAACAGTTTAGGTAAGTTATTTTTGTCAATAGAATATCAATGAAAATAGGTTCTTTGTTTTCTGTTTCAGACGAACGTGCACACAGACTAACAAATAGAGTAAGTTTTTTTGGTTGACTAAGTTCAAATGAAAGATTAATTCTTCATTTTTTATTATAGATAATCGTTCCTCTGAAGTAACGAGTGATAAGTGTGTGCAGAGATTGTGTTACAACTGCATGTAAGTGACACTGCACCTAAGAAAGTCACTCTAATCTTCTTCTTTGAATATAAAACTCTCCAAACGTGCTTATTGGTTCAGGATATAGTTTACGAAGGGTAAGCTGCAATTGCATGTGGTAAGCTTTTAAGTGGGATTCCAAAATTACACCAAAAAGATTTTCGCCAAAAAGACTTTCGCCATTGGCGAAGGTTCACTGTAATTTCACCAATTGGTGAAAGTTCACTGCATTTTCGTCAATATACCGCCTAAACTTTCGCCAATTTGAATGTGAATTAGATATGGATTGGAAAATTCCTATCGACTGGATTGGTTAGTGGAAGCTATGAAATATGTATTCTAACAACATTGGGTTTAGTTCTGACACTTATCCTAGATTAATATTCTTTCTTGACAGTTGATGAAAGTTCACTGTACTTTCGTTGGTATGCCCCTTGGAATTTTGGCAACAGCGAATGTTCTTTTGGCGAACGTTTTATTGGAGAAGTTCCGGTAACCGCTTTAAGTTTCAGAAAACCTGAAATAGTTCCTCGATGGGCTCAGGATTAATTTCATTCGTGAATGAAATACATTTTTCAAATTCCTACAAAACCTTCAGAAATTTTTTGAGGGGATCTTCAAGAAGCTTTCTAGGCTAGGGGATTCGAATTTACAGAAGAGTCGGACACCTTTTAAGGATTTTCTATGGTACGGATTAGGAATGCAACGGTGACGGTGCACCATCAAGCGATGCACAGCCCACCAGCTCACCGTACCACCGGTGATACGGTACTGCAGTGACCGGTGTACCGGTGGACGCATCAGAAATCTACGGTGAGGACCGGTTTTTTCCACTATTCTGACGCTTTTTTATTAAGAGAACCCAGCGGTGTTAATATACCTGCGATCACCGTAGTTTCTCGTATGTCCACCGGCTACACCGTTAGTCTCAACGAAGATTCAACGGTGAGACCCCCAATGAAGCCGGTGGACATACGAGAAGCTGCGGTGATCATAGGTACATTAACACCGCTGAGCTCTCTTAATAGAAAAGCGTCAGAATAATGGAGAAAGCCGGTCATCACCGTAGGTTTCTCATGCGTCCACCGGTCATTGTAGTACCGTGCCACCAGTGCCATCGGTGGACGGTGGGCCGGTGGCTCATCGTCACCGTTGTATCCCTAGAAAGGATCCTTTTAGAGTGTACTCGCCTACCTTCCCTCGGTGTACTTTTCCTTGCTACTTATAGATGTGACGAAAATTTTCGAAAATAGCTTGAATAACATGTTTTCAATAACGAGTTTTCTGCAAGCAAATCTGATAGCGATAATTAAATTTTCGAGCTAATCTATAGCTCTCTCATTAAAGTTTTCCAAAGATCTCAAATACAACATCGACTCCTGTGACTAGACTTTACCTTCTCTACGCGGATATATTTCTTTATATGTGATAAAAACTGATTTTATTACTAATTTTCTAAACAGAGGTCTACTAAACTTCTAAAACACCTGTAGACGAAACTTATGTCATTAAAGCACATAAAGATACTGTATACTCATAGATCACTTTATACTCCGGACTAGTAAAATCTATGGGATTACGTTGAGTATCGATCTCATCTATATAACGTATTCAACATGTATTACACTGTAAACTAGAAAATAAGTTATAGAGTTTAATCAAGGATATTCTGGGAATGCCTATATGAATCCAATCAGGTTTTTTCAAGTCTATGAAAATCAATACCAATTTTCAACGAATGGTGTTTTGCTGGTTAATAAATTTGAATTTATACTTTTGTGAAAATCAAGCATTTCATAGAAATCCGAAAATCAACTAGCCAATAATAAATTTTAAAAATTAGATGACCATACTTTAAGGAGATTTTGGCATTCAGAGAATTTCGAAAAAAATTACAGTGTAGGCATTGGATTTTACCTCGAACGTTTTTCAGTTGGTTTTGTTTCTGGTAATATTGCTGGTGTAGGCGATGTTGGCGATGGTTTTGGTATAGAAAACTGTTCTCCTTTAGACTTCTCATCGATTAAGTCAAGTAGGATTTTCCGGTATTCATATACAGTGTCAAACTGCTTCAAAAGTGGTTCTTCATTAGCTTCACTTAAATGGTCTGGATCGAGAGCACCAGTAAAGTAGATGCGTTTACCAACTTTTAATCGCACGTCTTCAAGATTAATATCATTTTTTATCTCTTCAAGCACACGATTTCGTGAGTTGGCACTCATTGATTCACATCGTGTAATAACAAGACACAAATGATTTGCTCTGCAGTGACCAAACAAATGATCGGTGACGCGACTGAACAAATTAATCTCATTGGTGCTAATGCCGTGACTCATCGAAATGCAGAAGAAGACGGCATGAAAATCAGTAATTTTAAACATTTCATAACATCTTATATTGATTTCCCATAAATCATTTTCGTACTTAAGCATACAACCAGGAATCTCAATGATGCGCAATGTAAAACGAGTTAACTTGTATTCGGTCAAATTTGGTTCTTTCGGTTGAGCATATTTAAAACTGAAAGCAGCTGGTTGATGCCGAGGATCACCCAATACATTTTGTAGTGTTGTTTTACCGCTGTTCGTGGGACCCAACAATAAAATGTTCTATTATAGAGAGTGAGTGATATTCTTATTTTCTTTTGCAACAGAACTTATACGATATAAACACAAAAAAGTGAAATATGTCACGTGCAATAAATACGATGAGCTTTACAGAACTGTTTACGTGGGTTTCTAGGAACAGCTTATTAGCTAGTAAAATACGATGGTGACACTGCTTTCATGAGATATATTATCATAATTTCAAAATTCTCTTTTCATATCTCTAATATGCTTACTACGAAATTCTCTCTGCTATACTATAAAGCTTACGAGAAAGCCTTATTGTGTGATCCTCTTTGGAAAGCATTGACAGTTGCGATCATGTAGGCGGCAGCTAGAAGTGATTTGCTATATACGAATGTCCTTCGAAGAGATTTATGAAATTGTTGCCATCATTAATGTCGCATCATAGTTCACGTGTGAGTAATGCTACGATGAACCTAAAGAAATGTTTTGGAACAGGTGCTTCCTTCTATGATAGAATTCTAGTGATACATGAATAATTACAATCGTCTCGAATTAGGACTAACGTTTGGCATAAAAAAAAGAATAATATATATAACATCTATAGGTCTTCTTACAATATCTCTTTTGACACAGTGACTGGCGATTTGATTGTGCTCCCGTTCGGCGAAGGTGCGATTAATGCGATCTAATATGGATTTTCGTCTTGAATCAATATCTGAGATAAACATCTGAAATGAAAAGAATAACTACACCAAGAATTTATTTTTAAAAACAGTTTAAAGCGCAAAAAGTCCTTTTCCAAATGAGATTAGCGACAATTTAAACGAAAAATGTACGCTGATAAAAGTCACATTTGATTGTTTTGACCAATCATAACAAAGTAAAATCGACGATAAATTGGTTTACATAATAGAGCACTGGCTGTCACGGATTTTTATCTTTTCAAGCTTGTCTTTCAACTGTTTAATATGCTGTTTAGCTTGTTCGATTTTGTTTTCGATCTCTCTTGTGTTCTCTTCTGCTCTTTTTTTCTCTTCTTTAACCACACTGATCACTGCCTCGCTGATGATATATGGCTCTGTTCGAATATTGCTGATAAACAATTGAATCAACTTTTCACGATATTCGCAGATAGTTTGAAATTGCTTGTTGACAATCTGTTCATGTCCTCCTTCTAATAGCGTTACATCGAGTGCGCCAGAAAAGAAAATGCCTTTCTCGAAAAACGCCATGTGCGTCGAAAACGTTGTATCGCTTAATAACTCTCCCAAAATGTTTTGTCGACGCACTTCAGATAGGTTTTCCGAGTTGGTCACAATTAGGCACAATAGTGACCTTATCTCCGTACCAAGGTATTTTTTGAATAGTTGCAGAGTTTTGATGTCTTCAGGGATTAAGCCGTTGTTGATTGCTATGCAAAGACAGATAACATCGAGTCTTGTAATCTCTTGGTTGAGACATGCTGTAATTGCGTCGGATATAATTTTGTTGTCTCTAATTTTCTCGGTTTTGCAGTTGTTCTCGAAAAGGCCTGGTGTGTCGATGATATTAAGTATTATATGCTGTTCTGGTAAATAAAACGACTCAAGGTGTGTATCTTTAGTGCTTGCCCACAGCGTCCTCTCTTCCGGCAAGATTGTGGGATTCGCAAGTAACGACTTCAACGTGGATTTTCCCGTGCGACTTCTTCCAATAAGTAAAATATTTCTGGTATCTGTTGCCAGTGAAGCCTGGTACTTTGCATTTTTTTCATACTCAGCTTTCAAATCACTTAGAGTATCACTTATAGATTGTGCCTAGAATATAAATTTAGAAAAAGAAATATAAAACCAAAAAACTGAGTGTGATGTGTGAATCGTCAACAACAGGAATCCTTATATTGCGCCACCGCCTGCTTTTTCCCGTTTTATGAGTCTCTAATAAAAATTGGGCACTAACGTTTACTTATTTTTATCTTATGGCATTAGTACATTCCATTTTAGAATACCTGAACACCTGTCCTAATAGTAAGATGCTTCCTCAATCGTTCATACACGATCAATCAATTAATATAGTTTAAGTCTAGGAATCAATGATGATTTACTACAGTTTAACACAACGCTAAAGTTGAGGATTTTGTCTTTATTAGATCATGACGAACGATCCTGAATGATTGTTTAAGTATAAAGGGTACAAGTTTTGCACCAATAGTAGTGTTCTGCCCCTTACCCGTGACCGGCAGTGCTAAAATCGTTTGTAAAGTAAATAGTCGTTTTTTAAATGTTTCGTTCGAATGAATGTAATGTCATTAGAATATATGAACATTTTTTTTAGTTTGAAAGCACTAACCAAAAGCATGCACTGAAAAAAAATTGATGTAGAATAATAAATTTTTGGTAAGGGTTCATTAACCTGATAAACCCTGTCATATATCCTTTTTAGTTTCATGAACCCTGTAAAATAGCTTTTCAGCTCATAAACATTGGCAAGGGTATGTTATTCGTTGCATTTTAATAAAAGACTTAGGGTATATGACAGTTCATATACCCTTTTAAAGGTATATCCATATAATGAACCCTTATAGAAAGCGTTTATTGATATACCCTTTACGAAAAATAGTAGAATAAAAATCCCTTTTCAGAAGAGTTCATTAAGCCGATATACCTCTAACCCTTTCCGGCCGGGTGTTGCCATATGGCAACATTTTCCCCTAGGGGGGTAGGGAAATTTCCAAACAACCGGCCGGAAAGGGTTAAAATGGTATATGAACTGTCACATACCCTAAGGCGTTTATTAAAATGCAGCTTATAACACACCCTTGCCAAGGTTTATGAGTTGAAAAGGTGTTTTACAGGGTTCATGAAACTAATAAATGTGTAAAACCTCGAACTTATGTCCGAGAGTTATGTGTACTTCAAAAAGTGAATGAGATAAATTAGTCAATCTAGAATGTATGCACGGGAGAATTATCCTGGAAATCTTTTTTGGGAACCCCAAAACTACTGGTCATCTGAGACATGTCTAGGCAATTTGGTTTCTGGATACAGTTTTTGTGCATTTTGAGACCTTTTTTAGGAAATGCTTCATTAGAAAACTACGATTTAGTTCAAAACTAATACCAGATTCAGAATCAGCGTTAAAAACTGAACCGATTTATGTATGCTGAGAAGAATTCTGCGAAAATTGTTTTTTCGGAAAAAATCCCTGTAACCCCCCCGCCCCCCGCCACCCTTTCAGGAATAGTGTGGTCAATAATGACAATTTTTTCGATAACTCAATCATTTCTTGACGGATCCTTCGCACCTTCGAACTCGACCGAGATATTGATGAAGTCATTCTGTGTACAAAATTTCATGACAATTGGATGAGGTTTTCAAAAGTTATCGTGTAAACGGCCTCACGGACATACTGACCGATTCTAAAGTGTGCTCACTTTTTGAGTACACAAAAAGGATATATGATAGGGTTTATCAGGTTAATGAATCCTTTCCAAGAGTTTATTATTCTGCATCAATTTTTTTCAGTGTATGAAGAGAGACATTCGAAAACAACAACAGAAAAGCAGTTTATACTAATCCCTTCATAACAACTGTATTTTGCTTCAGAATGTTGAGCTAGCAGCTTTCATGAGAAGCTTTTCAACTGGAGTGGGGGACGTATTAATAGACTGCACCAAAAGAGACTACAATGCCGGTATTTCACTCTGCATGTAGCTAGATTTTTCGACTTTCAATTGCAGATTTCTTTCATTGTGATTTTCATTTCTAGCGTTTTAATCATTAATTACAACAGCTTTGCTCCATGAATATATACCAAAAATAAAACTAAGATATGAAAACTTCATTTAACAATGAAAAGACTCATTAAAATCCAATTACAATTATATTGGTGTAATCATTTCTAACTTATGTTTAACTGCCATTTTTACAGTTGTATTCTAATCAGCACTATTAGATAAATGTAATTTTTTTAATGATGCGAGTCACCCCTTTGGGCACCTCCCCGTCACCAGGGCGATTTTACGCCGGCCACTGATTCCAATCATTGTTTCCTCAGTGGATGCTCCCAGCTACTAACGAGTAGCTACAATGCACTCGATGTTCTGAGTACAAGGGTCTTCAATAAGGGCGTGGTGTTACGTTTATCTCCCCCACCTTTTTTGTTGTATGGATGGCAGTATGGCGAGCATACTGCTTTGCTGGCAGGTACCACAACCGTTCTCAGCCAGATGGTTCTTGATAACCCTACTCGTTCCCAGGACACTACTTCGTTGCATTCGCTCGCTACATTTCTGGGATCCTTCCCTGCTAAGCCGATTATCAACCTTAATTGATCTGATAATCCCGAAAGCACTTCACCACATGCGCCAATAACAACTGGTAGAAACGAGACTTTCCATCCTCCGGTTTGTAATTCACGGTGTAAATTATCTCCCCTCGGGTATGGTAGTTTCAAGTCGTCATCTCAATTGCTATTGACACAATACCTATTTCTTTTAATGTCTATTTGTCTTTCAATATCAGTAAACCGTGATATTGCAACTTCAATGACTAAAGCCGTTTTCTTGATTTTATCAAAGACAATAATATCCGGTTTATTATGGTGAATGATCGCTTTCGTCTGCACTGGGTGGTTTCAATACAGCTTTATACTATCATTCTCAAGAACCGGATTCACTTTCTGTGAGTAGTGCGGCGGGGTTAGACCGTTTTTTTGACACAATTTGTAGCGAATGTTCCTAGCTACTGAGTCTTGACGATTTATATACAAGTTTGGCAGCCACTTAGAACAACCGGAAATGGCATGCTCAATTGTTTCTAAGGTTAATCCACATGCTCTACAACCCTTATTCATATTTTCATTTGCATAGGAAGGATGTACTCTTGTTAAGAGACATCCCTCCTGTACTGCTAGAACATTCCTGGCTGCTATTGACAATAACTTCCCATCCTTGAGCCAATCAAAGGAAGCCATCAGGTCAATGGTGCTTGTCGGACGTAAAACACGTCCCGCTAGTCCCAGTTCTTGACATTCTTTGTACCGACGGATGTTATTATCAGCACGCATTAGCTTCACTATTTCTCTAGCTAATGCTTGGGCTCTATTAATCAGAAATCATTCACAATGATAGCTGAATGGGTCTCGTCTTTTTCTATTTTGATGTCATATCTTTTTAGCACACTCACCGCATCACTGACTACACATCATTTCCCCCGATTAGCCATACTTTCAAATAGACTTAATGAGTATCTTAATTCTGCTTTCGTATTAAGTTACGCTCATTAGTATATGGTCGATTCCTCTAGAGAATCTTTAACTGACTTTAGACCATATCCTCCCAGCTCAGTTGAAAGGTAAAGTCGAGCTCTGCAACTAGCTTTTTATCGAGACTTCAGTTCTACTAAGATCTTACGGAACTGCTTATCCATTTTGTCACCCCGCCCAAGGACACTTGCGTATTTACTACTGCCTTTAATTATGTTACTTATTACATAATTAATTGCAGGTATTATAGTGGTGGTATGAGTATTCACTTTTTGCCTAATAGTAAGGTCGGAATCCCATATTTGTCGTACTTTTTCCTAACATCGTTCTTTCACATGGCCCCAAGCTTCGAACTCCTTCAGACTTAACTTCTGCTCCATTCATAAGTACTTGTAGACGTCTTCTCCACCAAGAATCGGAAAACATAAGTTATCGTCAGTTGTCGGGTCATTATCCACTTGTGACTTATCCTTTTGCCAACGTT